ACTAGGATGTTGATTTGTATGATTTTCGGTGTGTTCCTATTGGGGTACGAACACTTTTGCGATTGGTCAAAATAGGTTCGAGTCCATCTTGAGCTTAATAATACAACTACAACAAAAAAATACATTGTGTTCAATGCACAATTCAATAAGGAACAGGAATCGCGTTTCCGATCCATAATTTGGTGAATAGTTGAACGATATCAATGATAATCAGATATTTTGTCAACGGTACGAAGACTTTTGCCACCCACTGTACAAACCCTCGTTTGAATGCAAGATGGGAAAAACCTGTCTGGCGCGATCTTGTTGTCCCTGTGCTTCAAAGGCATCCATCGTACTGATGATGCTCCACAAGAGTGGGTGCCGACTCATGCTGGGCCTTGAGGCACAGAAGGGCCACTTGAACAGTCTGCGTTCGTGCAGCGACCGGAAGCAGCGCGTTTTGTGGAACCTGCTCGACGTCCAGCATGGATTCAAAGCCGCCCAAGTCGAAGGTGGCACCTGCGCGACGTTCAACGGCATTCCCCTATGTTGCCACCGCGGGTCCGCATGCTTTACCTTCCTCTGCACGAGATCAAGGCGAAGCTGCGACTGAGGTGATGGCGGACTCTAGACCTTCACCAAAACAGTCGACTGTCGCGTCGCTGATTGCAACACCCATCATAACAAAAGCTTTAGCCGAGTCGACGCCATGCCCGACGTTCCAACCCGACTTCGTTGAGCCTTTATCGTGGGGACAACTCGAGTCCATGCGGGAGGCACGGCCGGCATGGTTGACGGAGCTTTCCATGACGATATTTGGTACATGCGTCCCAAGGCTTGATGCACACGTATCGAGGAAGGCATGTGTTTGAAAACGGTTCCGCTGGATGTCCCATCGATAAAAAAAGTTGACGTTGTTGCACGGACTCACTCCAGCCCGCCAGCCATGGCGACACCGTCGCGCTCGTTGAGGAACGCATTGCCACAAGCAGAGAGAGATTCGCATGCTATCAGTTCTCACCGACGAGCCCGGGGCGATCCCCAGCGCCCCCGTCGACGCCCAACTGTATATCGAGGTGTCCATGGACCTGCGACTTGTCCAGCGAACTTTCATCGAAAGGGGAGGCAGGTCGAGAAGGTGTCGATGGAGTGAGAGCTCCGAGAAGCGTCCTTGTGGTCCCAGCGGTGGACCACTATCGACTGACGACGGTGCCTCGCCTTCGAGGTGGGCTCGATACCACACACACACCATGCATACGTGTTTATTTGCACGAGCACGGTTTGAATTCCACACGGTTCCGCATTTCGCGATGCTTGGAACGTGTTCTACCGTGTTCTTGGGCCCATGGCACATGGTCTGGAAGGACAATACGGTGGCCATGTCAAGAGCAACTTGCGCGAGTCGACCTCGTCAGTACGAGCAATAAAGCCAAGGGAGCCAGGACCCAGTGCCCCCGTCATCGTGTGGAGCTGCACCAGAGAATGCGTGAGCTGGCCAGAGCCTATTCTAAAGTAATTCGAGGCATTCCATTCCTTCCGCGGCATTGCAAGGGCAGTATGGACCTCGAGTACTATCGTCGCCATGATAGGCTCCCCTGTGCGAGCTAGAGCCTATCCGCGACGTCGGAGGTCGACGGCCGCATGTGATCGCCTTCCTCATGGATCTCCCCGTTTCAAGGAATGACAATCATTCCAGTACGACCGTCATTCGTTCTCGTGCAGTGCATGAGAGTGAATGGAACCTCGTGGCATGGACGAGACGTCGTGGGATGTCGTCGAGGACCTCCAGTTCCTCCTTGCTTCGGATGATCAGCTCCATGACGAGCTGTCGTACGTGTGCGATCTCTTGTGTGACTCTAGCGACGCAAGTCCGTCCCCATGGGACGGCCACGACGAGTCGTTGTCTCCTCTTGGCGCCAACACACGTGGCGGTGCAGCCACGACGACGGCCACAGAACATGCCCCGAAACCCAAACCCAAACGAATTCGAGCCAAAGTTCCCACAGACCAGACGTCTCGCGCTCGGCAGCAGCGTGAGATGAAGGAACTGCGTCTTCAAGTCGACCGACTCAAGCGTCAATTGGTCGAGGTATCGTATGCCCAGTCCCAGCGCGATGACGCGTCGACCTGGGAGCGCGCTGCCCATGACGAAAACAGGCACAAGAACCGATCGATCCAAGAAAACGATCAACTTCGCGCCGCCGTGCATGAGCATACCTCGTTAATCAGTGAGATGACCCGTGTGTTGCGCAAGAAGCCTCGCCTTACCGTGAGTGTTTTCGTAAATGATGATGCCAAGTCAGCTCATCAAGTGGTTGGTGTGCGGTGCAGCCCCAAATGGACAGGACGTCGGAAGCGTGGCAGTCCTGTCGCCTCGCAGCGCACAAAGCGCTCCGCGTCGCGGCCATCCACGCGATCGCGGACAAACAACTCGCGATGCTGCAGACCAAGTTCATTCGAGCAGGTGTATTTGACCGCCCCGACGATCTCATTCGAGCACGTCCATTGCCTCAAGTGAACGGAAGCGTCATCGTCGAGTATGTCTACCACGTCACGCTGGCGGCCCCGTGCCACTTGGTTGGTGACGCTGTGTGGAACGTGTTCAACGGGTCGGCGGCCGCACCAGGCGACTGTGCCGGTCTGGTCGATGGCGCCGTCGAAGTACGGATTTTGCCACTTTCATTTCCGATCCTCACGCTGCAAGCCTGGCTAGACATACGAGTTTCTCGATCGTACAACGTTGTACCGAACGTTTACCAAAGTACGCGACGAGGCGGCGAGCGGCCGCCACGCAGTCAACACAGCCCATTCGAATGCGCTTTTCAAGTGCTATAAACAGAACGATCAGGTTGCGATTGTGTGGAAGAGCGTGCTGGAAGACGCGCTGATGCCGCACATGACCAACGGTGCCGTGCACGACGAGTCCGGATGGTGCGCTCGATGGCTCATGCCCACCATCACGTTGTCGTTGTAGGGCTGTCGTCGCGCCGATCACAGAGTCGACGTGCCGCTTGACGCTGGTCCTCGACATCGTGGCAGATCCTGTCCATGAAGGCCGACCGTCGTCCGTGGACGACCTCGTCGTCAGCGCCACCACCATCATTGACAAGTTATCGTTCATGCGGCCACCCGACGAACATGGAACGTTTCCTGGCGCGCCCGTCGAGCCCGACGCGTTGATCGATATGTCGTTCGCCAAGCGGACGTTTGTCGAGCGAGGAATGTACCTCAAGCTCAAGCTCAAACACGCCATCAACACTGTCGTACGGGCTCACCAGGCCACGGACGCTTGACTTGTATGAATGGTGACAATGCAGCGGTCTCAGTCGGAAAGCTCACGTTGAGCAGAATTACGCGTGCAGATTCTGGAGTGTGGCATTCGTAGACGAGGTATATCACATTGGCGCCGGCCCTTTCGCGCGGGCGTCGACACCCCGTTCTACATCGCTCGATAGCCTAGATGCACCGCAACTCTGTCCAGTGCTGCGTGGTTGCGACAGGCAAACCTCCATCGCGCAGTCGGTCGTGCCATGTTGGGGCTTGCTGGAGCCAACCAGTCGCTCAGGACAATTCTCGTGGTATGCAGACGAAACGACTGATGTGGGCTGAAATGAAGAGGGACCTCCAGGCGGTCACATGGCGCGCATGGCCTTTAAACCAGCTTTTTTGGTGCGGTAATGCAGAAGCCATCGTCTGTCTTGGGTGGAGAGGCTTCTCCCTTGCGATTCAGCGACAGCACCCGCACAAACCCTTCGCTAACGCTCCACATTGCATCAGTCGACGTGGGGATGTGTTGCGACGGCAGGAGCAATCATGACACGGGTTCCTTCAGTATATACTACACAGCCAAGCCATCGTGCTCTTCCCTATTTCCACGCAGAGGTAGCAGCCCACGGCGCCGCTTCGTCGCAAGAGGCCAGAGCTCACTGTTCTGTGGCATCATTGTGTTGTCGTCATGGCAGCCTGTCATCCGGTTCAGTTATCCGTACGATCTAACTTGCAGTGCACTTTTGCATTTCCACTGTCCGAGAACAGCATGGCTCGCGGTGGCTCGCCGCCAAGGGAGTGTTTGGTAGAGACAACTGGCTTGCTGACACAGCCACCACGTCTTGGTGCGATCCATGGCGGCGACGACGCGGCTCCATGCGCTGAGCGTGCTGGATGGCATTCTGGCCTTCGTCAAGACGCCCCAAAGTTGTTGCTGTTCCTTGTAATCGGCGTCACAATCCTGTACCACGGACCGCCCGAGCGTCGACGCCGCCGGCCAAACATCCTCGTCCTGTTTCCAGATCAGCTCCGTCACGACTGGATTAATTCGGACACGTCGTCCGACTTTCTCGTGACCCCCCACCTGGATCGTCTTCGCCATCATGGCGTGACTTTCAAGCGCGCCATTGCCGCGTCCCCATTGTGTGCGCCATCTCGTGCGTGTTTTGCGACTGCGAGCAACTACGACCGCGCCGGTGTCCGCACAAACCGCGAGAACCTGCCCAACAACAGCACAACGTACTACAAACTCCTCCAGGATGCGGGATACCATACGATGGCAGTGGGAAAACTCGACCTGAACAAGCACGACAACCTGCTTGACTTTGGGTGGGGGCGACTTGGCAACGAGCATGCCGCCGAGTGGGGCTTCACGTCGATGGTGAATTGTGCTGGCCCGATTGAAGCGGCAGCCGAGGCCATCGATCGTGCCACAGGGTCGTTCCATGAGCCGTACATGGAGTTCCTGCGGCAGCATCAACAAGCCACAGCATTTCAACATGACATGCGGGCGCGGGATGGGAATGTGGCGCAGTACACCATGACCGATCCGACGGCGATGTCGGATCAGTACTACCTGGACAACTGGATCACGGACCAAGCGCTGGCATTGCTCGAGGCAGCCCCGCATGATCGCGAATGGTTCCTCATCGTGAACTGGAACGGCCCGCATCCACCCATGGACATCACACAAGCCATGCTGCATTCCGTGCACCAGCACAGGTATCCCCAGCCCGTGGACCCTGACGCAGGACTTACGCCCGACCAACACAACCAAATCCGACGCAACTACGCCGCCAAGATTCAAAACGTCGATGCCAACATCGGGCGCCTCTTGGATGCCCTGGACGTGGCGGACACTCTAGTCGTGTTTGCGAGCGACCATGGCGAGATGCTGGGCGATCGAGGATTGTGGGGCAAGCAGTCCCCATTTCAAGCGGCGATTGGCGTTCCCGTTGTCATTGCCGAAGCTGCCAACTTCCCCATCCTGACGGATGCCCTTCGCGGAACGATCTCGACGGCACCAGTGTCTCTCATCGACGTCGCGCGAACGTTCATCGACGTCGGTGGCGTGCGCGATGTTCCGGCTTCCATGGCGGACGCCACGTCGCTTCGTACGATCTTGAACGGGTCGTGTGTCGGAGCCGGCCGTGCGGTGCAGTCGGGTCTTGCGTCGTGGAGACTACTCTTTGATGGACAGTACAAAGTTATCGCGGGGTTCGGAAAAGACATGCTCGTGTTCGACCTGGACGCAGATCCGTACGAGCGCCACAACCTCGCCATGACGCCAGGCGTGTTGCCACAACGCGTCCAGCACATGATGCAACAGTTGCGCGAGGAAGAGGTCATGGCACAGCACGATGTGCCACACTAGTTTTATCGTTCAATCGAGACTTTGGTCGGTATTCCGAAACCCCACCAAGGCCCTCGATGTGTCCGTGCATGCCGTGGAGGGCTATTCTGCACGACTAGCCAACATGCTCCCGCTCGTTACCAGCCAAACCACGACTTGGCACGCATCTTGAGCATGCCGATGCCCAAGGAGCACCAACAAAACGCCGCATGCATATGGACGGACATGCTCCAGACACACGTGCTGCTCGCATCCGAACCACCGCCGTCGGCTGCGTCCAGCAACTCGTATTGCAGCGGTGGCAGCTGCACCAGCGTCTGCACCGACATCACGACGTGTCCAGTTGACGAAACGAACCCCATCTTCATTCGAAATCTCCATGCTGCATTCGATGTCGCTAGCCAAGTGGGCGTCGTGGTGCCGGGAGCGACACCCCCGCGATTGTCGTCGGCCCGCCTTCCATGGTCGTTGTGGAGTGTATGTACCTCGACGTACATACATTCCTTGTCCAGTTTGACAACACATGACGCTCCGTCGATTCCTCGACGGCTCCGGAAGAGCGCTGCAAGCCCTGTGTGACACAAGGGCCACCACACGAATGACTCGTGCGCCAGAGTACTCGCCGCCGTGGCTCAGTCCCGCTCTATAAGCAAAGCATGTTGTCTCAAATCTCGCGTGTGTGCCAAATATCATGGTGGCGGAGATCACAAGAGCGTCGGTTCCAAGCGCTCGAAGCGCTGTCTCGTCAAACCATTTTGTCCTGTTCGACACAGGACTGGACGTCGGGAAATGGAATCGCCGTCGCCTCCACAACTTGCGTCGACGACGCAGGCGGAAACGTCCCAGGGACGTGTGGCCTGTGGGCAATCGAGAACTGCTAGAGCATCGACGACGCTATCGGTTCCATCGCTGGATATGTCTTTTGAAGGAGCTGGCCGAGGGCGAAGAACCATGGTCTTCCAGCACTGGGGGTCCCCGTGGAGTTGCCGCCGACCATCTCAGAGGTGGCGCACACCCTTCATCATGCGTTCGCTTGTGGAACGCGCGCTCAGCGTCGTTGTGGTCGCTGCCTAGGTCGTCGAGGTTATCGACTGAAACTCCATCTACAACAGACAAGTGTCGCCGCGTGTATACGTCGACGCGACACGTGATAGTGTTCCGCACCGCCTTGGAAGATGCCCGAATGCCGCACATGGCCAACGGTGCCACGGAAGACAAGAGCGGTTGGTACGACCACTCGGCGCGATCGCATGGCTGGGATTTGCCAGTGGACGACTGTAGGATTGGCGCGCGTGATAGGCGATCCCACCACCGCCAAACACTTGCCACGCCGCCGCCCCGACAGTCTTGCAGGGCGCTGCCAGTCGAATGTGGTTTGTAAACTCGAAGCGAGTCGTTCCGGCGACTGGCTGGGGAATTATATGTATCCGCTCGAACGACGTCGTCCGAGGTCGACCGAAACACCCCCATTTGGATGAAGATTGTTTGCATGCGGGCAAGTTGGGCGTCCGCGATGGCGTGGATTGCCGCGGCACGGAGCGATTCCTGCGCGGCAAGATGGTAGCTCCGCCATTCCTGCGAGACGATGGTTGTTGTCTACGAGAGGTGGAGACCATCACAGAGAAGCCATTGGAAACGGAGGGGCGATAAGGTCGCGTACGGAGACGCGCGGTTTCTTCCGATTGAGTCACACGACGTAGCTACGTCGTCGAGGTGACGCTCGCACACGTTTGAAAGGCATGCAGCTCGTTGTCGTTGGCGAGAAGGAACGCGACGTCCTCCATCTTGCCCTGCGCGTGTTCCGTGTCGCGATCGACAACCATTCCGTTCGATTTTGTCAGAGTGAATGTCGTGGGTGGCTTCCTTTGCAGCAGGGCGCCGCAGAGCGGACGGCCGCGTGACCGACGGTATGCGCCATTGTCCACTGCCATCGTGCATGTCGCACAGCGTTGGAACACTACCATCGTGGAGGTGTTCACTTGCCTTCGACAACGCCGAGTCCAAGGCACAATTCAGTGTGATTCTTCCTGAGGCTCCAGGCAGCGACGAAGTGCCGCCACGACCATTCCTAGGATCATACGAGACTTGCCCATTGTCCTGGACGTGTTTATTTGATCTTTGAAAACTCTTCACGTTGCGAGCACTTCACGATAGACTGGGCCCATGCGTGCCCATCGATGTCGCCTCCTCTGTCCTCCACAACAATGTCACTGTCTCCGACTGACGTGGGAGACATCTAGAGCTGCTTTTTCAAGTTGCTATATGCGGTTCCCGTCTGTACTGAGCAATTGCGTGGTCCACGGCAGAATCTAACGCTTGCACGAAGCGCTTCCCACGTTCGACGAACCCGCGCATGTGTGGCCTGTCAGGTGTGGACTGCGTTAGCGGACTGTTTGGACCACGTGCCGAGTCTTCCGACACGTGATGGTGCTGCAGCATCGCTTCCAGCCCAGCGACTTCTTCGTCCGTGATCATCAGTCGGGGGGTATTGCCCATATCCATTTGAACGACGTACGTCAACCGGCATGACGTGGCATTGTCAGGAATCGCCGCGACTTCGAGCCTGCACACAAGCCACAATGAGCGCGGCTCCGTCGGCTCGAATCCACAAACGCACCAGCTCCACTTGTTTTCGACCACGCCTTTCAACATGTGCGGGTCTCGCGCATCTTCGAGCACACTTCGAGACACGATGACATCTCGGCCTTGAAACTGGTAGCGTTTTCGAATAGTGTTGGCGTGGCTGGTGACACCGTCGTGGTTGTGTCGAAGTTTGGTGTACAATGTGCACGAATCGATTCCCTCGACCTCCTACAACTCGAGTCACGACCGTGCGTATTCATCATGGGCGGTAGAGTTAGCTCACTTCGGTAGTGCCGCCGGGCCAGGCAGGCGAAGCCACGTCGGCCGACTCGCCAACATGCATTTGCCACACTGCCGCGGCAACGATCGAGTACGGCGCCGGCAGGGCCACGACGTTTACCAGCTCAAATCGAAAGCTCGTTTGGATGCCGTGAGGTTTCACCACACGAGCCTGGAACCTGTTTTGAGTGGGTCCGTGCACCCCCAACTGAATAAACGCGCTGTGCATCCGCCGAAGATGCCTGTTTGCAATCGCGTGGATCGCTGTGGTGCGGAGCGACTCGTTCGCAGCCAACCGATAGACCTGCCACGCATCTTTGTCTTCGGCCTACAGCACAGATGAAGCGGTGGAATCGAGGTGCGGCATCCGTACTTGGTGGTGATGCGCAGATTGGCTCGAGATGAGATGCTGCAAATATTCAATGAAAGCGGCTTGCTCACGGACAGCTCCCCGAAGTTGCGCGTTTTCCTGCACGCTTAGCCACCTCTCTTTGCTTTCAATTCTGGCCGCCCGCTCCCACAACGTCATGCCGTCCTGCGTTTCTTCATGTTGACCATGTCTCGCGTCCAGGACTTGCTTCATCTCGACCACTTGGCGTCGGAGACGCAGGAGCTCCTCCTTCTGGCGCTCTTGGTGAGTACAGCGTCGACGACGTGGTGGTTTGAGGGGCGATGTTTGCACTTCCTGCGAGTCGACACCGGAAGAGGTGTGCTGCAGTTGTTTTGCTGTGGAACAAGGACCTTCTGTCACTTGATTTGGCTCTGGGATGACAGCAGAGTCCTCCACGAAGTAGAAAAGCTGCTCTACATCGTCGTTCAGTTGGTCATCCGGCGCCAACAACGCTGGAAGGTCAAGCAAGATGGGCCATGCGTCATCGCCGATGCCATCTCGAGCCATGTTGTTGAGTCGGAATTGACTCAATATGCCATTGGCTTAAAAATAGTTTGAATTCACCCAATCAGACCACATCACCGGATGGGAAGGCACAAAACCGTGTCGTGGCTTCGGTACAGGGAACGACGGAATGCAGGCCTATCGAAGTTACGACATAATATTGTCCAATAGAAAACACTTCAGAAATGTTTTCTTCCAATCGGCTACAA